ACATCCTGTATATACAGGGAACTCAAGAAACTAATCCCTCCCAAACCTAACAAACCAATTACTAAATGGGCAAGGGAACTAAAGAGGGACTTCTCAAATGAAGAAATAAAAATGGCAAAGAAACACATGAGGAAATGTTCATCATCCCTGGTGGTGAAGGAAATGCAAATAAAGACAACCCTGAGATACCACCTTACCCCAGTCAGAATGTCCCACATCCACAAATCAGCCAACGACAAATGCTGGAGGGGATGTGGAGAAAGAGGAACCCTATTACACTGCTGGTGGGAATGTACACTTATACAACCACTTTGGAAAGCAGTCTGGAGGGTCCTTAGAAAGCTAAAGATTGACCTCCCTTACGACCCAGTCATACCACTTCTAGGCATCTACCCTGAACAACAGGAACCAATATACAAGGACACGTGCACCTCCATGTTTATTGCAGCACTGTTCACAATAGCTAGGATATGGAAACAACCCAGATGCCCCACCACAGATGAATGGATCCAAAAATTGTGGTATCTATACACAATGGAATATTATGCAGCCATTAGAAATGACAAAATAATGGCATTTGCAGGGAAATGGATGGAGCTAGAAGGAATCATGTTGAGCGAGGTAAGCCAAGAGCGAAGAGACAAACGGTACATGGTCTCCCTGATAAGTGGATGATAAATCCAAAATGTTAGGTGATACGACAAAACTAACAGGACTTAAGAAACAAAGAACTCCTGCTCATCTGGTTGAACCACTACTAAATATCCCCACGCTGCTGATCACATGTATGGTGTATAACATGTGAACACTGTTATATATTACAGACTGTGATAGACAATTTGTTCCAGGAAAGTTAGAATGAACTTGTGACTTAGAAACTATGTAATCACTTAATCACAATCAAAAAAAAAAAAAAAAAAAAGAACTTCGGGGAAGGGAGGGAGGGAGGGGATGGTAGGGGGAAAACAATGGAGGGGCTAACAATGTTCAAGAGGAAGTGTACTCATTACCTCACTCATGTAACTGTAACCCTCTGTATAGTATCTTTACAATAAAAAAAAAAAAAAAAAAGAGGAAATGGCCAGCCAGGTTCTGTTCTCTGTACACAAGAAATAGAGATGAGGGTACAAACTATGAACCAGCTGGCAACAAATACAGAAGCAGGCAACATGGACTAAGGAGCCTGCAGCAAACTCATAATGACACTGGCACACTGTGTAAGCCGTCAACATGGAGATTTACAACACAGGCCCCACCATACACAATACCATGACCTCTGCACATCTTTCTTGGTTTGTGTGTATGTGTGTGTGTGTGTGTTGTTGTTGTTGTTGTCGTCAGTCTGGGGCCTGAACTCTGGGCCTGTGTGTTGTCCCTCAGCTCTTCAGCTCAAGACGAGCACTCTACCACTTTAGCCACAGCACGACTTCTGGTTTTCTGGTGGTTAACTGGAGATAAGTCTCACAGACTTTCCTGCCCAGGCTAGCTTTGAACCCCAATTCTCATATCTCAGCCTCCTGAGTAGCGAGGATGACAGGCGTGAGCCACCGGCGCCCAGGTGTACATCTTTCTTTTATGTCAGCGGGTGCTGGCACTGGAGGGACCACCTCTCCCAGGACCAACCAATTCCCAGATCTTAATTAGAGTGTCCCTTTCCCAGGCAAACCAGCCGATCAGAACATATTACCTCCTTTATTAAGTTCTTCTACTCTAAGCCACTAGCCAGCCACCTGCCCTCGTCTGCCCAGGGTCAGGTACCAGGTAACGGAGGACAATTTTTTTTTTTTTGGGTCAGTTGTGGGGCTTGAACTCTGGGCCTGGGTGCTGTCTCTCAGCTCTTCAGCTCAAGGCAAGCACTCTACCACTTGAACCACAGCACCACTTCCAGTTTTCTGGTGGTTACTTGGAGATGAGTCTGATGGACTTTATTGCCCAGGCTGGCTTTGAACTGTAATCCTTAAATCTCAGCCTCCTGGTGTGAGACACTGGCTCCCAGCTGGACAATTCTTATGCTTCAGAGCCCAGTGATTTAAGCCGACGAGTCAATCCCAACTGCGCTAACCTCTCTGGCCTTCCACAAGAAATCGGTGAATGCTCCTGCCCCCATTTCCCCCTCGCTTTGCCTGGTGTTCCCCTGCACACCATAGTCTGCGTCTCCTCCTCTCAGGAACGGAATGGCAAAATCTCTTTTCAAGGTACTGACAGGAGTGACCCGTTGGCCTCACTAGACCCAAAGTCTAAAATCAGCATCTCCCATGAATCCGTGGGGCTGTTTTATCTGCACCCCTCCCCCACTCCCCAGAATCCTGGCACCTAACACACGCCCTAGCACATTGCAGACCTAGTTTAGATACTCTGGGTAGAAGCAAGAATCTGGCTGCATGGCTTCTCTACAAGTGACTCTCACTTCTGCAATGAGTTCGAGGCACTGAATTCTGTAAATGATGATCTGTAACCGCACGTAGCCAGGCAGGAGCAGGCGGAGGAGTGGGAACTTTCCTTTAGGCAGACAACCTACTGGTTAGCTCTGACTATTTCCTATATCCTAAAAGGGTGTCCAAACCCGTCATGAAAGGGAAGAAGGCAGAGCTCGGAGGCCCCCGGTTCTGCTCCAGCCTCTCCCCTCACGGGTCTCTCCAAAAGGAGCTGGTCTGTGCCTGAATCTCTCTCCTTCAGCAGCGGTACTGCGCACACAGCTCTCTACCCTTCTGGCCAGCCAAGGGAAAGCTGGGCTGGAAAACCTGCCTTGATTTTAGTCTTTACCTTTGCTTTTTGGCAGTAGTGAGGGTTGAAGCAGGAACACTGTCACTTGACAAACTCCACCAGACTCTTTCTGCATTGGTTATTTTCAAGATAGGCTCTCTTTCTCTACTTGTGTCGCCGAGGATGACAGGCATGTGCCACTGTGCCCAGCCATTGTGTTTCTGGGTCACTAGGGACATTTCCCATGATGCATTCCACCACGCCCAGCCATAGGTTTTAATGCAGTCTCAAACTTTTGTGTCGGGGCTGCCTTGAGCCACAATCTCCCTATCTCCACCTCCCAATCAGCTAGGAGCCAGAGCCCAGCTTAATCTTTACTCTTTAAAGTACACCTAGGGGGCTGGGTGTCAGTGGCTCACGCCTGTAATCCTAGCTACTCTGGAGGCTGAGATGTGAGGATCATGGTTCAAAGCCAGTCCAGGCAGGAAAGTCTGCGAGACTCTTATCTCCAATGAACCACTCAAAAATGAGAAGTGGCACTGTGCCTTGAGCAAAGAAGCTCAGGGACAGCTCCCAGGCCCCAAGTTCAAGCCCCAAGACTAACAACAAAGTCAATCTGTTCAGCTTGGCAGTGACTACATTTCTCTGATGACAGGGCCCTTGGGCGCTATGTTCTCTGTCACTGTCTCATCCCCAAGTTCACAGAAGAGACAGACACAGGAGACTTGTCTGGGCAGTATCTGAGGAGGACGGAGAATTGCCTGACAGATGCTCAGTTGGTTGCTCATGACTGGCTTGCCCAAGGCCATCCCTTCTCCAGGACCGAGAGGAAAGGACAGGAGGAATGTGACCACATAGCTGAGACAGCCTTTCTGGTTCGAATCTAAGCCAAGAGTACAGCAGAGGCACCAGGGATCTGGGAAACTGCAGAGAAGTCTTGGTAGGAAAGGTCACTAGAAGGTCACCAGTAGGGTGACTGAGCAAACAGATGTACCCAGCACAGGACCAGTTTATGCTTTATCACAGGCATTAGCATAATTACTAAACTCATCCCCCCTCCTGCATTTATCTTGAAAGGGTCACTATACAATTACTTCCACATCAGGGAATTTTGCAGTCAGGAAAGTCTGGGTTGGAGGCTCACAAACCACAGAGGCTTGTTGCTTTGTCTGTTCAAAGAGGAGTTGAGGGCTTAGCGAACATTCTAGGGGAGGCCCGCAGACAGTAGGGACATTAGCAGGAGGGTTCTGAAGCTAATCAGGAGCCCCAGAGGCCTCCACGGTAACAGAGGAGTTATCTGAGCTGACTACAGACCCGAGGCCAGGCAGGGCTCCACTCACAGTCTCTTCTCAGGAGGCATGCCTTACAGCACTTGTTCATTGCTGGAATCTCAAGCCAAGAGTTATCAAGTCCAGCAAAGGCAGGAGCAGAGAAAAAGGGGCCAGGATCAGTCCCCAAGTGGGTTATAGTTATGAAGCCAACTCCATCTTCAGCACATGCGTGGTCTTTCCCGCCCACTGGATATCACCTGCAGCAGCCCTGGTGCCCTGAAAAAGTCCCCATTTGTCTCTTTGTTCTTCCTGGTTGAGATCATGTTTCTGTCAAGTTGAACTATTTATCTGTGTTGCATGAAATGTCAAGGATTTCGAGTAAAACAGGGACCAACCCACACACAAGGAATAATAACCCTTCAATGACGCTTACACTCAACTCACATCTTTAGCAGCTGTTAGTGATTCATTTTCTTTCTCCAACACAGGAGCTTGCTCTCAGAAAATATTGAATTTAAAAGGTAGTGGGCTGCTGGTGGCTCATGCATGTAATCCTAGCTACTCAAGAGGCTCAGAGCTGAGGATCGTGGTTTGAAGCCAGCAAGAGCAGGAAAGTCTGTGACACTCACCTCCAATGAACCACTAAAAAGCTGGAGGTGGAGGAGTGGCTCAAGTAGCAGAGCACCAGACTTGAGTGAAAATGGTAAAGGATAGTGTCCAGGCCCTGAATTCAAGTCCTAAGACCAACACACACACACACAGTGATTAACACACAAAACTCTCCATAGTCTGAGTCTGTCAGATCAGCTCCATTCTTGGGATAATTTGCCAAGTGAACCCGAGGAGGACGTGCGTGTGAGGGGCGGAGAGAAGCTAAGGAGGCAGGCCAAAGACCCATGAGTTAAAGGAGGCTGTCACGTGTTGCCTGGTGGCCTCACATGAAGTTTAATTAAGTGTCCAGTGTTGAGAATCTCATTTGTTCTGTGAGCTGAAACTTCAAAGCTACTTGGGTTTTGTTTCTTTTTGTTTTTTTTTTTTTTATGTAAGATTAGCCATCATGCAAAACTTACTGGTCAAGCAGTTAATAAAATATACATATCCCAGAAAGGGTTCTGTATATTTCAGTCCTAGCACATGACAAAGCAATGAGAACCCCCACAGTCGTGAGAGGGGGCCCCTTTCCCCGTAGGCAGAGGCAGCAGTCCTGGTCTTGGGGGTGCTCATGTGTTGTAAATTCTGGAAGCTCGCTTCGCTGCAGTTTGAGCATCGGACGTCTCTTCTTCCTCTTCCTCGGTTCGTTTGTGTTTCAAAAACAAGTCAGACTTTAAAAAGCGGCTGTAGCTGTCGTACTTCATGAGATTGAAGATCTAAGTGGGAAAGAAAAAAAGTCTGATGGCTGTGACTAATCAGACTATAAATCACCCTTTCAAATATTTACGTGGGCCAAAGAATACAAATAACTGTACAGAAACACATACACAGCAAGCTAAAGCAAGGTCTCAGCTAAACAAGGCAGATTTCCTGGTTGCATGGTGCAGTGATCTCAATAGACTATATAATTTATTTTTATTTTATTTTTATCAATCTTGGGACTTGAACTCAGGGCCTGGGCACTGTCCCTGGGCTCTTTTGGTCAAGGTTAGCACTCTACCACTTTAAGCCACAGCACCACTTCTGGTTTTCTGGCAGTTCAGTGGAGATAAGAGTCTCATAGACTTTCCTGGGCTGGCTTTAAACAGCGATCCTCAGATCTCAGCCTCCTGAGTAGTTAGGATTACATGCGTGAGCCACTGGCATCCAGTTGACTATACTATTTGAAGAGACGCATGGAACGGCTATCTTTATTCTCCATGGAAGCAGAGATTCATACAGCACTGATTCATATGCTCATGTTAGAAGATTTTTAAAGCATCTCTGTAACACCAGGCTATTTCCCCAAAAGCTGAGATAGCAGTGCAGAAACCTTTTCTGTGTTCAAAGGTCACTCATATCAGATGAAACCAAGATTGTGAACACCCCCAGTAAGTCCAGCATTAGAAACTCCAAGCCTATTATCATGTCAAAAACAGAAGATGTATTCAATGTAGGGCAGCAGGGTTAAAATACAGCTTAGGCCAGGAGAGGCTCTGGAACAGGTCTAGGCCAGAATTCAAACCTGTGCAGACAGACAGGCTACGGATTCTAGAAAGGATTTTTAGCCAGAGCACCAGTGACTCATGCCTGTAATCCTAGATATTCAAGAAGCTAAGGTCTGAGGATCATGGTTCTAAGCCAGCCTGGGAAGAAAGTTCCAATTAACCACTAAAAAAAAAGTCAGAAATGATGCTTTGGTTCAAGTAGTAGAGAGCTAGCCTTCAGTGAAAAAGGTAAAGAACTGCACCTAGGCCCTGAGTTCAAGCCCCAATACCAGCACAAATAAAGAGAGGAGGGAGACAGAGCACGAAAGGGAGAGGGAGAGGAAGAGAGAGAGGAAGGTATTTCACCAAGCAAGAGCCCCCCCCACACCCCCTTTCCCCCCACACCCCCCCTCGCATGTCCTTGCAATCAGCAGGCTGCCATCTGCCAGCACCACAGGTGTCCCCCTAGCTGCATGTCGCCTCTCTTCTGAGCCGGCATCCCTAACCCCAGCACCCACCCAAAACCAATCCTGCACCGCTGGTGCCCTGGCCCCTCAGCCTCTCTACCAGGAAGGCAGAGAAAGAAGAAGATTTTTTAAAAAGCATTTCTCTGCTGTCTCCGGGGCATGATCTCCTTTTGAGAAATTCCTCACCCTCCATCTCTCTGACCTTTCAACCTAACTTTAAAGACATTCCACAGGACCAGGCTCACCCCTCACCGCCAGGCCTTCTCTTGGGGCACCAACAGGGGCTCAAGCGCCTGGAAAGTTCCAGAGCTGCCACATTGCCAGTCCACTCGCTGCCGGGCGGGGCTGTCAAGTGGGTGGCAAAATCCTGCCATCTTCCAAAGCCCCCCTCTCCCCACAAGCAGAGACTGTTAAGTAAATCAAACATCCAATGGGTTCTAAGGCCTCAGAACACCTGACGGGAGAGACATCCAGAAAGAACGGGAACTTTCAGCCTTTATACCTTTTTCCATTTTCCAAGCCGGCTGCAAACTGTAAGAGAATCAAACTGCCCAAGACATTTAATTCTGAGCAGAGACCAAGAAAGGCTTAGGGGGAAGTGGCGCTGTAGCTCAAGTGGTAGAGCGCTCGCCTTGAGCTGAAGAGCTGAGGGACAGCGCCCAGGCCCAGAGTTCAAGTCCCACGACCGACAAAAAAAAAAAAAAAAGAAAGGCTTAGGGTATTTGGTTTTCTGTAAACGAATGAAGTAAAGCTGCTCCTTTCCCTCCCATCTTGCCCAGCCTCTGAAGCAGTTGTCTATTTTGTGGCAACTGTGCAATCCTAGAGGTAATGATCATTTGAATAATATGAACGAATGCAACACTGACACTATGTTGGAAATGAACTTTACAACTTGGGGGGAGGGGAGCAGGGAGGGGCAGGCAGGAGAAAATAAGGGTTGTGGTAACCTGACTTCTGTAACTGGACCCCTCCCACCCCACCCCCGACCCCCCCAGCTCATCACCTTTTCAATAAAGATTTTTTAAAAGTTTAAAAAAAAAAACCTCCCCAGAAAATGCAAACACCACAGTGAGGGCTGAGCAAGGTACTGCCCTCCCGTGCTTCCCTCAGGAAAGCGCTCAGCAGGCGTAGGGGTCCCTTACAAGGACCCCCAAAGGAAATTTCTGGAAAAGATGCCCACCGTGTGACCCCTCGGGCAGGCAGCCCTGTTCCCCCTCCCACACCTGGGCCCTGGGTACATGGGACCCACCACTCAGGGCAGGATGCGGTGTACCCCAGGTGTCTGAACTCCTCGTGAGTGGGAGAGCAACATCCTGTTTGCCCACAATGGCTCCGAGCCTCAGACTTCAAAGGAGAGAAGAAAAGGGGCTAGGCTGGAGGCCAGGAGGTGGAGGTGCAGGGAGGAGGCTCCTGGGCTCAGGGTGATGCCAGGAGATCTCAAGAGGCCACAGACTCCTCTCCCACGTAGCCCTCTCTTGGTGGGGGAGCTGTGGGCAGGGGCTTTGGGCGGGGGCTTCCAGCCCCAGGACGCTCCTCCCCGCAGGGGCAGCTGAGCCTCCGGGGGGCAGCTGTGGCCGTCAGACCTGGCCGTCAGAACTTCATCTCCCTGGCTGTGTCCAGGCTGATGGCTCTACACAACGGCTGGCTCCCACTGTCCCCAGAAAAGGGCCTCAAGTATGTGCAGGCGCTCCAGCTGCAGATCCTGTGCTGGCAGAGATGGCGGCTCCCAAACTCCCAAGAGTGAAAGGCCATATACTCCGCTACTGACCACAGCCTTCGCTTAGAACACCATGATCCCATACTTGTCTACCAGCGAGTGACTAGAAGCCTCCCTGCGTGCACAGATGGTGAAATGAACCCCACAAGGACCAACACTGCCTAGCAGAGCCCCAGAACCATGCACCAGACGGCAGACGGAGCATGCGGTCCCATAACCACGACTCACCAACCACCCTGATTATATAGGGGAGGAAACAGGGATTTTCGACTCAGTGCTTTGCCTGATGATGAGTGCATGGTCAACTCCAAAACAAGTCCCCCAAACCTAAGGGTCATGTTCTAGAAGCCGGAAGTTCCAGGGAGAGCAGACTGGCTTCTTCTGAGGCCTATCTCCCTTGCTGATGGTTGGCTTCTCTCCAGCGCTCACGTGGTCCTCTTCTGTGTGTGGCTAGGTCCCAATCGCCTCTTCATCAACAGATGCTGCTCAGACTGGACCAGAACCCATCCCGTGGACCTCATTTTATTTAATTACTCTTTTTAAGCCCCTGTCTCCAATACATTTGAAGTTCAAAGGGTAGGAGGACATAATTCAGCCCTCACAGTGGGTGAGGGGCAGATGAGATGCCCACCCTGGCAGCTAGCTCCCCAATTCACACTCCCACTGGCCACACTGCTCTCCCGCGATGGAACACCAGGCAGCTGTTAAAAATGAAGCCGGCTTGGAGTTGAACGTGGAACGCTGTCTGTGAATATGAAGTAACTGAACACTCATTTTATTTAATGCACTAAACCTCAAAACAATGATTCCAAATGTTTTCAGAGTGTGTTTGTGGCCATGAGCGCAGTGGCTCCTACCTGCCTCCCCCAGCTACTTGGGAGGTAAAAGCAGGAAGATCTGGAGTTGGAGGCCAACCTGAGCCACATAGAAACTTCAAAGCTCGTCTGGCACACATAGCAAAGCTCCATCTCAAAACAAAAGGTGAAAATAAGTGTGTCTGTGTGTAACGGGAGCTCTCTATTCCTAAAGGTCAGGAGTGGGTTGAACAGGGTCCCTACAAACTTGCCATTTGTCAGCTCCACATGTGACTTTATTTGGAAATAGAGTTGGTGAAAGATGTCAAGATGAAACCATCCTGCATTTAGGGCTCCAACCCAAGCACTAGTGTCCTTTCAGAGCAGGCAGGACACACAGGAAGAAAGCGTATGAAGGCAGACGCTGGCTTGGTACCGCCACAAGATGGTGTTTCACAAAGCCTCCAGAAGTTGTAAGAGCAGCTTCCAGAAGGAGCCCTGAACTTCCGATTCCAGCCTCCTGGTATGCAGGAAAGGTTCCTGCCGGGCTATGCCAGTCAGATGATGGTCATCTGTTAGGGCAGATCACCCTGGGAAGTGTCACCTGAACCATTTTATCTCCCTCCCACTGAAGCACAGAAAAGGAGCTGGCCCTCGGGGGTCTCCGGCTATTCCACCAAGCAGGACTGTTGACAGGCCAGCCCGTGACCACCACCTAAATGACAGGGTCAGAATCCTCAAGTTGCCTGCCCGGAAGAGAAGGAAGTGGAGGCAGATCTGGCACGGGGGAGGGGGGGGCGAGAGGGGTGAAGAGGCTCGGGATGGGCAGAGCAAAGCGGATGATCCATCTAAGACCGGCAGTGGAGGAAGCAGAAAACACAAGTCGGCAGCTGCATTGCTTCCTGTATCCTTTTTTTCTCTACAGCCAAGACAGCTGTGGCTTAGCGAGGCCCTGTCTGGCAGCCCCCACATCTGTGCGGGGCCTGCCTGCCTACACTGTAAGCTCAGCACAGTGGCCTGGGGGCCCAAGCAGAGGGACTGGGAAGAAAATGAAGAGCCTCCCGCACATGCGCAGCTCTACACCCCGCCTCCCCACGCAGGGCCACCACACCGTCTAAGCACAGACCTCCTGGAATCCCAGACAGCAGCCATGGGTCTGCAAGGGAAAATATTCCTGAGACACCCCAACTTCAGAGTATTCAAGCAGGCTGCTCAGAAGGGGCCTCCACCGGGAAGCAAGCACCAGGCAGAGACCAAGGGCTTCAGTGCTAC